TATGCTAAAACGAGCATCGAGGAATTTCTTCACCTTGTCAATGTAAGCTGCACTATTTCCTGTAAGAATTACATCATCCACGTATATGAGTGCTGCTACAAAAATATCACCTCGATTATAAACCAGCAAGGAGTGATCCGCTTGTGAAGGCTTGAACCCCAGTTCTGAAAGTGATTGTGTAAACTTATGATACCAATTCCGTGATGCTTGTTTCAGTCCATAAAGGGGCTTTCGCAATATGCAAACTCGATTATCTCATGCACTGGCAAACCCTTGCGGATCCTGCATATTAACCTCTTCCTCTAGGTCACCATGTAGGAAGGCGTTGTTCACATCAAGCTGGTGAAGGTCCCAACCACGCTACTGCTACTGTTAAAAGAACACAAACTATGACCACCTTTGCAACGGGTGCAAACGTATCGTGAAAGTCGACGCACTCCAGTTGCGTAAAACCCTTTGCCACAAGTCTCGCCTTGTAACGCTCTACGGTCCCGTCTGGTCTGTATTTCACTTTGTACACCCACTTTGCACCTATCGCCTTCATGCCTTGTGGAAGAGTCTCCAAGGTCCATGTACCATTGGCTACTAGTGCATCTATTTCTTTCTGCATGGCCTCTCTCCAGCAGGCATGTTTCACAGCCTCGACAAAGGTTTTGGGCTCTACAATCTTGGTGATGGCATCGAGGTAGGCTCGATGTTTTGGCGAGAAATGCTCATAACTCACCTGATTTGCCATGGGATACGTCACCACCGTCTCTTCACGTGGCTGCCCAGTAACTCGGTTTCATAAATGTCCACCAGAGCCGAAGGGGGACGTCTGTTCCGGGTTCCACGCCTTAAGGGAGGCTCTGCCGCCGTCTCAACTACCTCGCCATTTTCATCACTAGAAGAATCTTCTTGCGTGTTGCTCCCATGCATGTCATGTGAGCCATGAGGCTCATTATTATCATGAGTAAGCTCCAACTTGTCCTCCTCATCGTGATCTGCCTGCACGACCTCCTACTCTCCCAAAACTTCTTCCTCCTTTCCAATCAATGGCTCCATGTTCACTTTACTTTGCTGACTCTCCTGCAACGATCCTTTTTCCTGACACGAAATTTTTTTTCAACAAAGTGAACGTCTCTTGAAGAGTAAATTCTACGAGTATGAAGGTTATAAATACGGAAACCCTTTTGTGAGCCAGGATAGCCAACGAACACGCAAGCTCTCCCCCTCTCGATGAACTTGTCGAGACCAGCTGACCAGGACGTGTGTCTTTGGTGTAGACCAAACAACCAAAGCTCCGAAGATGTGCATACGAAGGTGGGTGACCAAGGAGAACTTCATATGGAGTTTTGTTCTTGAGAATACGTGCCGACACACGATTTATTAAGTAACTGGTCGTGACAACGCACTCCCCCAAAACTGAACGGGGAGCCCCAAGTGAAACAGGAGAGCACGTGCTGTTTCGAGCAAATGACGATGCTTGCGCTCAACAACACTGTTTTGCTACGGTGTGTCAACACAACTAGTTTGTAGAAGAATCCCATGAGTTTCATAGTACTCTTGTAATGTCCTCGTCTGAAACTCGAGGCCATTGTCCGCTTGAATGCGCCGAACACGAGTACAAAACTGTGTGACCACCATCTGACAAAACATACGAAGATAACGCTTAACATCGAATTTGAACTTGAGCAAATAAACCCATGTGGCCCGACTATAATCATCCACCACTGTCAACAAATAATGTGAACCATCCATAGAAGGGGTACGATAACCGCCCCAAATATCCATATGAACTAATTCAAAACAAGCACTCGTTCGAATAGAATGCAAAACAAAAGGTGCCAGAGTTTGTTTGGCACACAAACAAGAATCATAGTGCCGATGTTCATGACTGAAACCAGAAATAGATAGTGATCTCTGTAAACACGACATCTTCTCCAAAGAAGGATGTCCCAGCTTGGTGTGCCAGAGATCAGTGGAGCTCTTCCCAGCCGCAGCAAACACAGAAGGTCGCCGACCACTTGCAACGTCGAGGTCTCTAACTCGGTGAAGGTGATAAAGGCCATCACTCAGGTGGCCCAGTCCAATCATAACTCTGGAACGTAAGTCCTGAATGACACGGACATCAACCAAAAATAGTAAACAAAATCATTTTCCTAGGTCAATCGGCTAACAGACAATAAGTTACACCGAAACGTTGGGACATGAAGAACTCGATCAAGTTTGAGAGAACCATTCAAATTCAAAGTGCCAATCCCTTCTACCGGGATACTGGCTCCATTCGGTATTTGAACTAGAGAGAAAGTACCCATTGTATCAACTGTACTTAACCAACTAGAGTCCCGAACAATGTGTTCGTTGCAACCCGAGTCAATGAGCCAATCAGAGAGTTCAAAACTATTACCAGCCATGTGAGTTGTTGGTTCATTTGAATTGCCTTGAGGTGCCGTGAAGAATGCCTTCATATGTGCAAATTGGGATGCGGAAAGACTGGGAATGAGACTATCCTCAACCTCCATGTTGGCAGCTTGCGGTTTTGACCGCCCTTCTCCTCTCGGTTTGCAAGCATTGCCAGCTCCTCGGTCACCTTGCCGCTCACCACGACTCTCTTGTCGACCCTTGGTCTGATCGGGATAGCCAATGATCTTAAAACAGGTGTCTTTCGTGTGCCCCAACTTGTTGCAATGAGATCAACGTGGAGGCTCGTCATCAACATCCTTATAAGCGGTCTTTTTGGCCTGAAAAGCGGCAACTTCCACAACTGGACGACGTAATCCTGTGATTTGTCGTTGTTGCTCCTCGGCTTCCACCAACTGATAAGCCTCTGTAAGAGTTGGAACTGGTTTCATGCTTAAGATTTGTGTTCGCGCCACCACGAAGGAATCGTCGATTCCAAGGAGGAAATCGAACAAACGTTGTGCATCTTGCTTTTCCCTAGACTGCTTGGCGACATCACACGTACATAACTCGCACGAGCACAGCGGGTTCAAGCTAACCGCTTGAAGTTCGTTCCAATACGTGCACAAAGTCGTGTAGAAGGCTGACACAGTAAGCTTTTCTTGGCGGAAAGAGCTAATCATGTTGCGGAGTTCATAGGCTCGCATCGCAAAGCTAGTCCCAAAATGCTGTTGCAAATCTGCCCAGATCTCGCGAGTAGTCTTTGTGCCCGGACGCTATTGGGCACTTCCTTGCTCATGGCAGCCTTGAGTCATCCTTTGACGGTAGCGTCACATCGACCCCATGCATCGTCGAAGACTCCAAGGCCTGCCTTAGAAGTTAGAGCGAGGGAGTGATCCATCCACAAACACCATCTTATTTTTCGCGATTAGGGTTTTTCGTCATATCGCTAATCCATACTGTAATTCAGATCCGTCAACAGGTCGCTGCCAAACAGCTGACTGGGATTTTCAGATGGATGCATGTAGAGGGGTGAAGTGAGGGGTATCAAGTCGGTGAGCGAGGAAGCTCTGCCCTTTCCAAGCTTGTCATCTTCTCCTGTCATCCTGAACTGTCAAGCTGTGAAGCGATCAGAGCTCTGATACCATGTAAAACTTGATACGCAGAAAGGAAATAATACGAGACACGGATTTTACGTGGTTTCCCCGTTCAGTATGAACGAGACTACTCCATGGAGAATGTGAGTTCTCGGTTCTATTATTAGCTGCAGTTCGTCTACTGCCAGCGACTACACTCAGCCGAGGCTACAAACCTACCCTTAAATACTCCACTCGAGTAGTAGGGTTAGGCAAGGTAAAATACAAATTTAGTCCTCCAACTATGATAAGTGTACAAGAGAGTATCACACGGTTCTACATTAATTGCTCACCCTTGTGCTCTTTCGTGTGCAATGCTTGCATTGTAGTTTGGATCTCACTTGTTTGCTTAAATGTGATCTCATTTTTTTTGCGAGTTTGGAACAAATACCTCTTTGTTTTCACAGTGGACATTTTGCGATGTCGATTGATTAATTGATTTTAGGTGTAAACACTCTTATATCTCTACACAAATGGTTGATGAAGTAATGAAAGATTTTAGAGATATATTATACGAATTCACATGACATAAAGCGGGATGGGACTAAGTTGCTTCATTTTTATTAATTTGCGAGAAACTTATTATAAATGTCATTCAACTTGCTCAATGACTAGTTGGAAAACCATCTTTTTCAGATTAATTCACAACCCAACCGCTACTCATCCAACTCAAAGAGCTTGTGACTAAGCCGCTGGAGAGACTAATACGAACCCGAATCAAGGGAAGGATCCATAGACAACATTGTGGATGAAGTACCGCTGACTACACGGCTATGAGAACTCTATCTTGTATGCTAAGAGAAATTCTTCGGTACAACTCTTCTTTCCTCCGTTCACTCCTTTCCTAACGCAGGCAAGGCAACAAGGAAGAATGCTTATGGATAACGAATCACAATTGTCCCAACTGTGTTGGTCAATTTGATACCAAAACTGAAAACCAACCTAACAGAAGTCAATTCGGTACAACTCTTCTAGCTGTTCCGGGCTCATATCTCAACCTGCAAGCCCGCTAGAAGTGGTTCGAGCTGGCCCATAGGATAGAGCCCAACATCTAGCTTCTGGCCCTTGAGTAATCCCAACTCCCAACTCCCAACTCCCAACTCCCAACTCCCAACTCTCTTTTAAGCCGGGGGCCCACATTCTCAAGTGTCAAAATCATGATTTATGTGGCTTATGGCGAAATTGGGAGGGCAAAGCCCGCCAAAACCCGAAATCCTGCCTCCCACAGAATTTTCAATTCGCAAATTGAGGCCAGGCCAACCAATGGGATCGCAACACGTAATGCCTTTGGCGGGATTCATGGGAGCCTACTTGCTGCTCACCTAGCTTTGACCCAGCGAGGTTCAGGACTTAGTGAAGTTCCGCAATTACCCTTCCCTCGCAGTTTGGACGACCTACAGCAACCAGGGGTATTATTGTATTTAGCGTCGTCGGCATTGGGGGGCCTAAGATTAGATGGGAAGTCCGAAGGCATATTTCGATGATATCCTTTTTTTGGCCATTCACTTTTTCTTCCCCCCCCGCCCCTCTCCTCGTTAAATTCTGGTAGCTCGCCAGCTGCCCTTTCCCCAACCCACCAAATCCATCGGCTTACCTTAACTGATTTGAGAGATTTGGAGAGGGACACTTGTGTTGTAACCCAACGTTGGAGCTTGCAGCTAAGCTGATAAGATAAGGCGTGTTTCAGAATTTGAAAGGTTTGTTGGTTGGTGTTGTTTTTCAAATCTCAATCCACCATTTCTATCCATTTTCTATCCTTAGCGGTGTCTGCGATTGCAGTGGTGAGTTCTTTTGAGCCTCTTCTTGTGTAAAGATTGAATCTTTATTACTTCTGTATTTGGGTTCCAACGTTGGAAGAGGAATTGGGTGAGGAAATGAAGAAATTCGCCTCTGTTTTTGCTTTCAGGTGTTCCAAATTGATAGAGACTTGTTGCTTTTTTGGGGAAAAAGGGTCGGTTTGAATTCGAGGGTTGATTTTAGAATGGTGTTGTGATTGAAGTTTTGGGAAGCTTTCTTGTCGAGGATGAACTATGAAGCCGCTTGGGAGTGGATATGGTAATGGTTTAGGTATCTGGCCAATGGTTCAGCTCGCAGAACATAAGTTAAGGCACTAAAAAAAATGCGATTTGGGAATTTGTCCAAACTGAGTTTTGGCGTTAGGCAAGCGGTTAATTCTAGGTATTCCGCTTGTTTCCGACCTACTTTTAGCACTTCAGCCTGCTTTCCTCCTCCTAGTTTTACTTGTCAAGTTTTCCCATCGAGCCAGCGTCGTAGGAGTAGTGGAATTGCAATGGCTGCTTCTGGTTCAAAGACTGTTTTTGGCGATGTCTATGCCGATGCCAATTGTGGGAATGGATTGGAGCTGTGTAAGCCCAGTGGAGTGTTCTTCTCCGATTCTAGCCGTGTTAGTTGCTCCAAAGCAAGTGTGAAGATGGGGACTAGAGAGCTTCCCCCTAGTAGCAGGTTGGTTTGTGGGAATTTCCTGATGGATGCAATGAGAAGGAAGAATTTGAACAACTTTGGTGTTGGGCCATTGCTGAAGCACTTGCACTCTCCATCTTCTTCTATGTTTGCCTCTATTGGGCCTGCTGCAGATTTGTCGTTCGATGCTAACTCAAATGATGAACAAGCAGTTAACTCCACTATGGTTTCCGGCCGGTATGTGCTCTCAACCAGTCTTATATATGTTTGCTTCTTTTTCTGTGTGTTTGTACTTGTAAATTTTGTTATCTATCTCAATCGCATGCTATTCATTTTCTATGTTATGGTGTGAGTTTTATTTGCCAAACTATAGCTTGCAAATGCAATTGCGCCAGAAAGGTGCAAACAAGGATGACATGAGGGATTCACTTATCTAGAGTGCTTTACTCCCTACCTCCAACTTTAGAGTTACATAGTTTCAATACGTTTGAGATTGCATTTGCAGTATGTAGTATCAAACAATTTCAAATACTCTTAAAAGTGTCAACGAAAAGTGATATAAAATCACATGCTATATCAAACATCACAATCCCAAACGCACCAAACCAAACGACCTGCAAAAGACAGAATTTTGCACTCAAAGAGAGTTGAAATGTGAAAATCAAAATAACATCTTCATTCAGAAATACTTCCTTCCAATTTGCAGGAAGTTAAAGCTGCATTCAGGATCTTGTTACTTGCCACATCCTGACAAGGAAGCAACTGGCGGGGAAGATGCTCATTTTATATGCGGAGATGAACAAGTGATTGGTGTGGCTGATGGTGTGGGTGGGTGGGCAGATGTGGGTGTTAATGCTGGTTTATTCGCTCAGGAACTCATGCTCAATTCCGTGAGGGCTATTCAAGACAACTCCAAAGGATCCATTGATCCAGCCAAGGTCCTAGAGAAAGCTCACTCAAACACTAAATCCAGAGGCTCCTCGACTGCTTGCATCATAGCCCTTACGAACGAGGTATGTTTTGGGTCTTTCTTTCCCCAGTACTCAGTATGTGGATTGTTGTGTAATATAGTGCTTTAAATTATTAAGATCAGACAGTTCTGAGTTTCATCCTCTACTACTTACCCTTTTGGTACATAACAGGAATTACATGCTATCAATCTCGGGGACAGCGGATTCATTGTGATCAGAGATGGGTCGACAGTCTTCCGATCCCCAGTTCAACAACATGGCTTCAATTTTCCTTGTCAACTGGAGAGTGGTACAGGTGGTGATCTTCCCAGCTCTGGCCAGGTCAGCAAAAGTTTCACCTTTATCTACCAATTGCAGTACTAACAAGTTCAGAATACGTAATTAAATCTTCCTAAATAGTTAATAAACGATACTTGCAAGTTACCCCTATCACCATAAATTAAGGTGTACATTGATGCATCCACACAGAACAACTCCGTGTGCTCTTTGCCCCAGTCGCTTCTGACCATCGGTATAGCTAGATCTGCAGCTGCCTAAGTTTGAAGCTTGTAAGTTACCCAGATCATTACTCATTAAGGGTATGCGGCTGCCTAAGTTTGAAGTTTGTAAGTTACCCAGATCGTTAATCATTAAGGGGTACTCTAATGTGCATGTGCTCATATGTGTTAGGAAACAATTTCGTTTTCTCCCTCTGTCAATAGACGCTGCTGTCCTTAAGAAATGGCTGTTGAGTTTTGAAGCACCAACCTCGATTTCCTATATTTGATCTCAGGTTATTACAGTTCCAGTTGCCCCGGGAGACGTTGTCATCACTGGAACAGATGGGCTGTTCGACAACTTGTACACCAACGAGATCAGTGCCATCATCGTGCATTCCATGCGAGTCGGTCTGGGGCCTCAAGAAGCTGCACAAAAGATCACAGCTTTAGCAAGAGAACGTGCCTTGGACCGAAGCAGGCAGACACCATTCTCTGTTGCAGCTCAGGACGCTGGGTTCCGCTATTACGGTGGCAAGCTTGATGATATCACCGTAGTCGTATCCTACATAACAACAACAGCGAATTCCTCAGCCGGCATATGAATGTCGTAGTTGTGGGGGCATTTCAAATGATGCTTCTTGTATAATTCTTTTGGCCACCAAACCCGCCTCCGGTAGATTTTTTTTGCCATCAAGAGAAATATTCCCAGATTTGAGATACAGCCGCGGTTAGTAGAATCCTTAAACTGTTACACTTCCAGTTCCAGTTGCACTTGACTTTCCAGTTCCAGTTGCACTTGCAGAAAGTCGCAGTTTTGATTAATGCTTTGATTGTTTACTTTCATCTTGTGTCTGGGTTTGTCGAGAACTGGTTTAGGGTGTGAAGATGATGACTTATGATGATAGTGATTGGTTCTTGGGGGCTTAGAACAGAGATGGATCACAACATTGATACAGAACTGATAGAAACAACACACAGAAACAAAACTGAAACTCTACTACATGAATACACATACAGTAAAAGCCGTTATTTTGAAACTGCCATAAGATTATGCTTGCAGAAAAAGAGAGCCAAATCCTACTGCTAGCCGGTTGCCATGTCCTTGAGAAAGTGGATCAACATGCTTTTGGCGGTTGCTTGCTGGTGGCCTTCACAATTTCACATTCATAGCTTCAAAGGCAACTCTCTGAATGATCTTCTCCCTCCACCACCACCGCCACCTTCTTCCTCCTCCTTTGCCGCTTCTTCTCTTCTCTCCCTGGCTGCTGCTGCTTCTTCTTCCTCCCTCCTTCTCTGCCTCTCTTCTTCCTGCCTCCTAGCTTCTTCTTGCTCCCTCGTAGCCTCCTCTTCTTCCTTCTCCCTTGCCGCTTCTTCTCTTCTCTGCCTTTCTTCCTCTTCCTCTTTCTCCCTGGCTGCTTCTTCTTCCTCTCTTCTCTGCCTTTCTCTCTCTTCTTCCTCCTTCCTTGCCTCTTCTTGCTGTCTCCTTTCTTCCTCCTCTTCGCGCTTTTGTTGTGCTTCCTCTTCAGCTTCTTCCCTCCTTCTCTTCCTCTCTTCTTCTTCCTTTCTAGCCTGTTCTTGCTCCTTCCTAGCCTCTTCCTCCTTTTGCCTCCTCGCTTCTTCCTCTCTCTCCCTCCTCTCCTCTTCTTCTTGCCTCTTTCGTTCCTCCTCTTCTTCTCGTCGCTTCCGTTCTTCTTCCTCTTGCCTCTTTCGTTCCTCTTCTTCCTCTTGCCTCTTTCGTTCCTCTTCCTCCTGTCGCTTGCGTTCCTCTTCTTCTTCTTCCTCTCTTTTCCTCCTCTCCTCTTCCTCTTCCCGCTTCCTCTCTTCTTCCTCCCTCTCCCTTTCCCTCTCAATCTCCTCCACCATCAACCTGAACTCCTCCTCGGCACAGGAAACACACTCCAATATGATGGCATCCTCCTGAGAGGCCAGCAGCAGCTGATCGATCGTCGTGTTGCTTGCGTTGAAAGCCAACGCGAGCACCTCCCTATCCAGGGTCTGGAAAACCGAGCTCTTCCCCACAAGAAACTGCGGATGGTTCTTCTTCGACGTGGTACTGAACCCCATGAACACAAAGGACCCATTGTTGAACGACATTTGCGCCATGGGGTGGAACCGTGGCACCACAAACACGTCTCCCTCACGAACGATGAACCTTTCGTTCTTGCACCCTGTCGAATTTGAAGCACAAATGATTCTCACCATTCCTTCCCCTTCAAGGACTACCGCGATCTCTGTCGCCATCGGATTCCAGTGCGGCCCCATCATTGCCCCCTGAAGAAGGAATACATATTAACATTTCTGCATGATTCATGTAGATAATAAATGGATTAACCATTTGGCCATTTTCACTTGTACAACTTTACCTTGGTCAGGTTAACCATGAAAACACCCATGTTGGAACCTTTGAGGGTCTTGTAATTGCCCTTATCAACCGTCAGGCTCCACCCATTGCAGTTGTGGAAATCAGGGTCGGCTTCCAGAATGTTGAAGGTCTTGGATTTCTTGCTCTTTTTGAGATTGATCAATCCTGCTTCTTCTCCCGCCATGACCTTAAGGAAGCGGTTCTCCAATTCGTAGAACACTGATTTCTTTTTCTTCTTCTCCTTCTCTTCTGAAGACTCTGAAGCCGGTGCGTGAACAATCCCCGGCGGCTTCGGCGTGCTGGTTATCTCCTCGATCACGCCCTCAGTAACCTTCCGCATTTAAACAAAACATCCAATCAAATCTCTATCGAAGTTTCCCCTGAAATTCAGATTTCAAGCAGGCCAGAGAAGAAAAACAGAGAGACATACCCCAAAGGAGGATTGGAGAAGCTTGGCGTTGAATCCCAGGACGAGATCGGAAATGCTGGAGTAGGCTCCAATCCATGGCTCCTGCGCAATCCAAACCAACAATATCACTACTGATTGTGTTAACATTCAACGAATCCGATCAATTCAGACGAAGGAAATTGATGAATTAAACCAAATACCCAAATGTCTTCATCGGTAGTGGAGAAGATGGCATGAATCCGGAGCTTCTGCCGCTCGTTCTCCAAATCACTCTGCAAGAAGAAAACAGAGCCGGGCTCCAGCCTGTAGACATCTCCCCTCTTCAAATCGACCCTCTTCACTTCGTCCTCGCCGTCTCCCGTCCAACTCAGCTTCCCGCTGCCACTGTGGACGTAGAAGACCATGTCGGCGTGGAGCAAGACGGGGAGGAACAGCGAGTTTGGGTCCAGTGTGATGAACTCCACGTGGTACGGCCCTTTGGTTGGGGCGGCGGCGGTGCGGACGTCGACGGAAGAGATCTCGCCGTACTCTGTCACCATCAGCTGCTTCCTCTCCGCTCTCCTCACCACCGGGAGCGTCGACGTCGCGGAACAGCATAGCAGTAATAAAAGCGATGACAGAATGAGTATCAGAAGTTTCGCCATTGTTGGGTTTGGGAAGCAGATTGAAAACTTTCTTTTTCCTGGTTTTGATGCGGAGGTTTTCGGTACAGTCTAATAAGAGATTAGGGATGCTGAAATAGTGGGGGGAGGACCGAAGGAGGAGTGAGTAGGTGTCGTTGCAGAGGGACGCGTGGAGGGTTCATGGGGACACGTGGCGGATGCCCACTTCACGAGTTCTTCGCTTGCCTGATGATACTACGAAGTTTGTATTTTCTTTCATTTTTTTTCCTCGCGGGAATGGATTTTTGCTTTGATAGATTGGAACGGCAGTGTTGTTCTTTTCAGGTAATTGGGCTCCAATTTGGGCCGGAGTGAATGGTTTGGACTTTGGACAATGAACATCGTTATGTAGCTTTGGGCCTGAATTGATTATCGGGTAATTGGGCTCCAATTTTTTCTTGTTTGGGCATCTCTTTTTTGTAGTAGTTTTTTTGTAGCATTCTTTGTTCTTTTCGTTCTGTTGTTTGTTGTGTTATTCTTTCACTGCTTGACAGTGGGATGATATTTTTGTGTCCTAACTATCGTGTTGTTTGTTGTGCCGGTGATTGTTCAACCCTTTTGTTTGTGCTTCTGAATTGTGTTGATTCCTTTGGGAAGAGGAAATTTTGTCTCTTACTCATTCATATATGCTATCTACGGTGTTCCTCTTTTGTTTTTAGGGATTTGGACAATATCCTCAGTATATCAGAGAAGCAAGCGAGACGCTTGTGGGTTAGCAATATCACTATTTGTCCTGTGTGGTGTGCGTTTGACGGGTTTTCAGGTATACCTCTCGAATTGACAGACAAGAGTCTTTGCATAATGGGTGTGGAGGAAGGGTTGGTTGTAGGATTTCAACTTGAGGGGGAGGCAACGACTTCACTCTTATGCAGGGTTTCTTTGATGTGGCCACATCCAAGGAGGTACTCGGTTCCACAACTTTTTATTGTTGGTTTCATAGGGTTTCTTCGCTGCAAGGCCTACATGATAGCACGAGATGAATGTTCTGTTCATTTTGGATTTGGGGTGGCGGGAGCGTTTTTGCATCTTGGCTTGGTGACAGGGAGTCCTTTTGGTTTTGTTGGGGTTAATGGTTACAGAGTGGCTCATTTGGTGGCCGTTTTGGCTCTGTTCTTGTCACTCTAAATTCTTTGGGGTTTGACTTCGTTCTTATATTTGTGTTCTAGACAAGTTTCCTATGTTATTGTCCACCATTTTTTCTACCTTAGTGTTTCTGACATAGTTCTCCTCTCATTTGGTAGTGTTGGAGGTTGTAAACCCATATTCGGGAGCACGAGTTCAACGATAAAAAATTCCCCTTATGGTGAAAAATGAAGGGTTGGGAGGAGGATGGAGGGTTCCTAGACCCAAGCATTTGGGTGTTCTCAGATGGTGTGACCCATGGCCAACGTGGCTCCCATGGGGCGGTGGATGGGTTTTGCAGGAGTGTACATGCGTGGTGTGGCTACTTCGAAAACCTTGTACGATGCTTTGGATGATTCGTTCCTGGTAGAGCTACTAACTCTTTCTTTCTGTGATGGGAACTGTTGGTGTTTGCTTAATGGCGTTCGACAAGTGATTTTTGCAGGTGATGCCAAGATGGTGTTTGAGAAGGTTATGGAGGGTGTGCATCTCGATGCGCGTGGCGAGGTCATACTTGAAGAAATTCAGTTGTTGCGACGTTGTTTTTACCACTTTTATTTGTGATTTGTTGGTCGTACAAATAATAGGACGACCCATTTGGTGGTCAACCATGTGACTCTAGTGGCGAGCTCAGTAATGCGGGCTTAATTATAATACGGATGAAAACATTGAAGTTGTGAAATTGTTAACTTTCCCGAATTATCGTGGATGTGAGATATGGAACAATTTTTTTTATTGCTCTCTGTGAAATACTAAACTGTAGGCTAGATTGACTTTCCAAATTGGATAATATGATTCTAGTGTATCTCATTTTTCTCGATAAATCAATCTGGGGAAAAAACACTCAACCTTACCCCCAACCCTAGCAGGGAGTTGACTTACTATGTGGGGTTGATAACTTGATCGGGTGGGGTTTCCTTTGAGCCTTTGATTTGTCTCTATCAAACTATTGATCATGTCTCCAACTCGAGCTCTGCAATTTTTGGTTTTGCCAAGTGGACAGACAAATTATTGTGAATCAAAATTACGATCAATTTCTCCAAGTTGCACCAACAAAAATACCAAACTACTTTGCCTCTACACCACAAATAGGTCATAATTCTTGCTTTTTTTAAACCTAAAGCCTGTCCTTTTAATCTTCATGGTCCCCATACACACGTATGGGAAATGACGTACAAAATGTGGAGGAATCTTTACAGGAGAATATTAATTATGATAAGAGATGTGGAAAAAGCTTCAATAATTGTGATGGTCATTCCTTTACATATAAATAAATAAATCTTAGAGAAAAGTGTTTGTTTTATTTCCCCCTGGATCAATAAGAGGGGTATTCCCACCAAACATATCCCATGGAATTAGGATCCATCAAGAAGCTTAGCCCTAATCTTTGTCAAAAGAAGCTTAGCCCTAACAATGGAACCCTTAGTGAGTTAACGTAGCTATAGTTGTGCACAAACCCTACACAACCTTTGAAAACTTTTGAATTTATGATGAATTTGAAAGAGTTCATTGTCTGTTTAGTTGATTGTTTATCATGGATTTAAAAGTTTTTGTACCAAGGGTGCCAGATTTTTGCTTTCCATAATCAAATCCCAAATGAATGTGAGATTTGCAAATTCACGGGGTCCACTGATTTGAATAAAAGAAAAGTGTCCAGATTAGTAGGCCCCATAGATTCGCATACCTCAACAAACAATATATTTGTGTCAAGTTCATAATGTTTGAAATCTGTGTAACAAATCAATCACTCAAATCCCACCAGCAAACGATACCAAAGTGATATTTACTTGTACATTTTGAAGAGGTAGTTAGGGTTGTGCCAAGTGATATTCACTAATGCAATTTGAAGCAACTCGTTTGTGTGAATTGTTTGATCGGTGAAACTCATAATGAATTTATTTGAAATATTTTAGTATGTGAGGTCACGCCATGCATATTTTATAAGGGATATTTTTTTAACAGGAAAATTTATGGTTGATATCCGGAAAAGTATTATGATCAAAACCCGACCCTTGTCTAGGGATGTTAAACGGTTAGTTGGTTATCGATTAAAATCGATAATCAAACCATTAATGATGGTTAGTGGTTAACCGATAATCGATAATTTCTTATTGGGTTTGTTTTGGTTAGTGGTATTTTGCTTATTGGTTAATCGCTAATCGACCAATCAGTTAGTGGTTAACCGATAAGAAAACCGATAATCGCCTACTTGTATAACCAAATAGTTTTGGACTTTTGACTAAGGGAAAAGTTCTAAGATTCAAAACCAACCAAAGTTCAATTCCGAACATCCCAATTCCCACCTATTGCAAACAACACTCCACCAAGAGTCTCAACTGTGTTTAAGAGTCAAAACTCAAAGGTCACATCCCTCTAATTAACTCCCCTTTGTATTCGACAGAGCAAATGTCATACGGCCTAGTGATCTTTTTCTCTTTGATATTTGTGAATGATTAGGATCTTGTGGTGCTGGTATTTGATGTTTTGCTAATTAGTACTTGCTAATTGGATGAATAAGTTTGGTTAATTTTTATTTTATGCATTGGAAAATGAATTTAAATTATGAATTCATGATGAATTTTGTATTGATATTATTTCCTATAATTATTATTTTATGTTAACAATGTAGACATGTAGTTTAATTATTTTGAATTAATTGTATGATTATTGGTCTTTAATATTTAGTGGTCATTCTTATGCTTGTGGATTGAAAATGATGTTAAATGACACTTGTTAAACTTAATTGGTTAATGATTTGTGTATTACAAGTGATTTGATATTAAGTTCGATTAGGTATAGCCGTTGTTGTTGGAAAGCCTGTTAATTGTTATTGGTTAACCACATAACTAACCGCTAACCGAGCCGATAATAAACGGTTAACCGATAATGCTTATCGGTTTGGTTATCGGTATGAGATTTTTACTTATTGGTTAACCGTTAACTGCTATATCGATTAGTAACCAAAACCGAACCGATTAGCACCACTACTTGTAATATCCAACAAGTTTATGGAAGCAAGTAAATCGCAGATACTGTGTATTTGGTCATGAAAGAATTTGATATTAACATAAAATTTCCATTAGGTGTTTCACTTAATTTGTGGTTATAGGTACAATATGTTATATGTCCAGCAACTACGTATTTTTATTAAACATGCTTTTTTACTATTTTTTACATCAAACATATTTCTGTACCTTGAAAAATTATCAAACATATGACCCCTCTAATGTTAAAACTTTAGTCCAAAAACCGTCAACCATGGTCGAACCTTGGTTTGGACAACACAAATGTCTAAAATTTTCCTAATAATTTCACATAAACATTCCCCCCCCCCCTTTGTTTATCCCAACACCCCCTAATTATTTCACTTTAATGAGACTTATAGAAATAAACAAAGGGTCAAAACTGACATTTTCGCTCCCATTTTTCCGGGGTAAGGTCATTTGAATCACAGTTTGGCCATAATTGACGATTTTTGGATGAAAATTTTAACAGATGGACATGCTCGATATTTTTTTTTTAAAGCACAAAGGCATGTTTGATGTAAAGAATAGTAAATGATCACGTTTGATAAAAATACAGGCAAATTATACTTGTAACCCTTTGAATTGTTGGTAGGTATACATATATAGAATAAAAATTCAATAGTACCACATGCCTAATACAAAGTTCATTACTTTGTAGAGTAGAGAAGATGGAAGATCCACACCCACCCATAGTTGTTATGACACACTCAAATCACTTCCAAAGTATATATGGGCATCTTTTTTTTCTTCTTCTTTACTTTGTACTTCTTTTTCTTTTTGTATTTCGACTTTGTGGCCTTGTGAGGGTGAATGAAAGGAAATGAAAGGAAAGGTTTCTTTTTGAAATGAATGATTAAGATTGGAATCTCATGACCCAACTCTCTCTCTC